GGTGCCCGGGTGCTCGGGGGTGCCCGGAGGTGCCCAAGTGCCCAGGTGCTCGGGGGTGCCCGGAGGTGCCCAGGGGTGCCCGGGTGCCCTATAGCCATAAATCCCTATAGCCTTATAGCTCTAGAGCCCAATAGCCCAATAGCCCATATAGCCCAATAGCCCTGTAGCTCCATGGCCTTATAACACTAGAGCCCTAGAGCCCTATAGCCCTATGGCTCTATAGCCCTAGTCCTATAGCCCCATAGCCCCAACAAACATCTGTTTGGGTCTTTTTCTCCGGTATCATTGTTGTTGTTGTTGTTGTTGTTGAACATTATTTATTCTAAAGAATAATTATTGTTGGGGCCCCTGGTGCGCGGCCCCCTCGCCGCGCCTAGGCCGCAGCCACATTTTCATCATTTTCGTGAGGAAGTCTCAGGCAAAACGTGGGTGTCCGGATCCGGTTGTTTTGTTGTCCCCCGTTTTCCCTTGCAAAAAATAAGCTAAAGTGGACATTTCTTGTTCTAACATAACCAAACTTCAAGAATCCCTTGCAAAAAATAAGGTAAAGTGGACATTCGCGCGCGCAAGACGAAATCCTTCCAAAACCTTAGTGTTCGTAGCGATTTTAACATAAAAACATCAAAAACACACACATTTTTTTTTTTTTTTTTTTTTTTTTTTTTTTTTTTTTTTTTTTTTTTTTTTTTTTTTAAAAAAAAAAAAAAAAAAAAAAAAAAAAAAAAAAAGAAGAAAAAAAAAAAATGTCAGAATTTCATCCCGCGCGCTCTTGCGGATTCGTAGGAAACCCAACACTTTTTAAACATTTCTGTCAAACGGGCTTTTGCGAGCAACTTTTTCGAACTTCTGCAACAACGGTTGCGCACCTGCCAGGGCCATCATCCCTGTCAAATAATACCATGCGGGACACATTCGTTTTTTCTTCGCGCGCGCACGCCGTCGTCGTCGGCCGCGGGGCCCTGAATAGTAGCCACGGTCGTCCGCATGCCACGAAGTGAAGTGTCCGAACGTCATAGGGCGGGAAGCTGGGTGTGGGTGGTGGCGAAGAGTCGTTTGGAAATTTGGTAGAGCTTGAACCGGCCCCCCCACAAAGTGGGGGTATTGTCCGCCTCCTATGAAAACCCTGGCACTGGTGAGAACGGAGTGTCCCCACGTGCTAGTAATTGTTGTTGTTGTTGTTGTTGTTGTTGTTGTTGTTGTAATGGTTGTTGTTGTTCTTGCTGTTCTTGTTGTTGTTCTTGTTGTTGTTGTTGTTATTGTTGTTGTTGTTATTGTTGTTGTTCTTGTTATTGTTCTTGTTCTTGAAGCTATTTGTTTGTAAAAAAACGCCCAAGTGGACGTAGCCCACACACTGGCAAACCCACGGCAAACCCTGCGCCCCGCGCCCAGGCAAACGCAGCCGGCATCGCGGCTAATCCTACGGCAAGCCCACCGCGTCCGAGGCGGCGTTTGCACTGGTGGCCGGGGCCGTTTCTTGGCGGCGCGCGCAAGGGGGTGGAGGGAGGGGGAGGGCTTCTTAGAAGGGGGCTGCTTCTTAGAAGGCGCTGGCCTTACATCTGTAGATAAGGCCCGCGCCTTCTAAGAAGCAAGGGTGCTTCTAAGAAACCCTCCCCCTTCCCCCCACCCCCCTCTGCGCGTGGCTGGGTTTCCCCAAGACGTAAGGCCGCGCGTCGGAACAAACGACGCGGCAACATATTTAGGTTCGACGCGCTATTTAGGGACAAATGCTTGCAGTCGGACTCGCATTACCGGGAAGCTGGCAACGCGCACGGCTGGACCTGGCAGGGCTCGGGATGAAACGCGGGCTTCTCCCAGCAGTATTCGGTCACGGCCGGTGTCGGCCAAGGGCCCACGAAACGACCCTGGGCTGTCTCGGCAGCTCTGGACTCGCATGCGCACGAGCTCCAAAAGCGCCGCCTAGAAGCTGCGTCTACGCGTGCAGTCTGTCCCGGAAGCGCTGTCCTGCTCGTCCCCGGCCTCTACGTGCGCCGCAAGCGTTTGCGCAGCCCTCGCGCGGCGCTTCCCGAGCTCGCGCGCAGCTCCTCCTAGACAGCGCTTCCGAGGCTCGTGGCACGTTCTCGCCACGCGCCGGATTCACACACGCAGGAGGCCGACGCTTCTGGCTGGATGGGGGGCGACCGTCTGGATAGACGCGCGACACCACAAGTATTGGCGGCGAGCGAGGGGGGGGGAGTGAGAAGGAGAAGGCCTTCTCAGAAAGCGGCGGGACTTCTCAGAAGGCCTCGCGCCTTCTGAGCAATTTTTCTGGTCTTCGGGGAAGGCTCAGAAAACTTCTCAGAAGGCTGGAGAACTTCCGATCCTTTTTGAGGAGGCCTTCTCCTTCTCACTCCCCCCCCCCCTCGCTCACCGCCGAACGTATCGAGTTCTGGCCCACACCGTCCACGTCGTTTGTCATGTTGTTGCGACGGGTGCCCGCGTTTCGGTCTGTGAGAGAGCGTAATCCACCGCCGCTTCACTATGGACAATTTCCCCCCCCCCCCCCCCTCTTCCTCCGGAACCCAGGAGTCCCTCCACCCCCCTCTTCGAAAGTCCCCCCCCCTGCTGGACCCCCCCACCCCAGCAGCGGTAGAACACGCTCTTTCTGGTCCGTTCACCCTCTATAGTTCTCCAGATCTCCCGCCCCAAGCGGTCCCCAAGCGGCCATGGTGCAGGCCCGCGCAAGCAACACCTGGTCACTCTCTCGGTGCCCAGGATGGTGACCAGGAGAGGAAAGTGTCCCGTAGCCTACCGCCCAATGAGGAGATGGACGAGGGATTGGTGACGGTGGGGGGGAGGAGGAGGAGGAGGAGGAGGAGGAGGAGGAGGAGGAGGAGGAGGAGGAGGAGGAGGAGGAGGAGGAGGAGGAGGAGGAGGAGGAGGAGGAGGAGGAGGAGGAGGAGGAAAGAGGAGGAGGAGGAGGAGGAGGAGGAGGAGGGAGGAGGAGGAGGAGGGCTGGCTCTTTTTTGCCTAACTGATCGAAGCCATGGGTGTTCGATCTGAGCTTCCTGTTGTGGTGCCGGCTGCGCTGCCAGCCCTTGGCGGGCTCCGGAGGTCCCCGACGGGCCAAAATGCAGAAGGGCCTCTATACTCGATGTTCCCTTCTCGTCCACGTCCTCCTCCTCCTCCTGCTCCTCCTCCTCCTCCTCCTCTCTCTCCCTCATCATCCTCCTCATCCTCCTCCTCCTTCTCCTCCTCCTCCTCCTGCTCCTCGCGCGCTGCGAGCGGGCACGGGTCTTTTTCGATGAGGCCCACTCGTGCCTGTGCCTACGACACGTGCACAACGCGCGCGCAAACGCAGAACGGAAAGCACGCACAGACGCACACTGACACACACGGACATAGATACAGACACACACACACACAGACACACACAGGCACCCACACAGACACACACACAGATACACACAGGCATACACACACAGACACACACACACACAGACTTTTCCCGTCGGCGGCGAGGCACAGGTTACTGCGCCAGAGGTCGAACACACACAGACACATACAGAGGCACATACACACAGACACACGAACACACAAACACACGCAGACATACACAGACACACGCACACATAAACACACAGACGCACACACAGACACACAGACACACAGACACAGGAGTAACACACATACACAGACACACGCAGCCACACACAGACACACACACACACAGACAAAGACACACACCGACACACACACACACAGACACACACTTTTTACGTCGGCGGCCAGGCAGAAGGACTGCGCTGGCGGATAGAGCGTTGGTAGGGCATACGAACGTGAATTAAGCCGCGGTGCGCGAGGGGGAAGGAGAAGACGCCCGGCGGTGGCGGGAGGGAGACGGAACAGACACACACACAAACGCACACAGACACGCACAGAAAGACACACAGAGACACACACAGAGACACACACACACAGAGACACACACAGAGACACACATAGAGACATACACACAGAGGCACAGACACACACAGAGAGACAGTGACACATACACACAGAGACGCATACACACATAGACACGTATACACACAGCAACACAAACACACACATACCCAAAACAACACAGAGACACAGACACACACACAGAGAGACACAGGCACACACCGAGACACAGACACACAGGCAGAAACACACACAGACTCACACACACTCAAACACATACGCACGCATGCACACACACACACACACACACGCGAACGCACGCACGCACGCATGCGCGCACGCAAACACACACTCACACACACGCATTCACACACAACAGACACAACGCACACAACACACAACAGCCACAATACACAACACACAAACCACAACACAGACACACACACACACTCACACACAAACCAGACACACACACAACACACAACACACACACATTCACAGACTGGCGCACAGACGCACACAGACCAGACACACACGCACAAACCAGACACACACAGACCAGACACACACAGACCAGACACAGACCAGACACAGACGAGGCACAAACTAGACACACACACACACACCGACACACACAGACACACACACACAGAGACACACATACACACAGGCAGACACACAGACACACACAGAGACACACAAACGCACACAGACACAGATACACACATAGACACACACAGAGACGCACGCAGACCCACACACACAGACACACGTACTGACCAGCCACACACAAAGCAAACGCAGACTAGACACGTAGAGACACTCGCAAACACACAAAGACACACACATACACACGCACACACATACAAATGCCGATGTACATGCGCGCGACAAGCGTTCAGCATCGCACAAGCATGCGTGCAAGCACCACGCCTGGAGGGGGGAGGGGAATCACCTCTTCCTCCTCCTCCTCCTCTTCATCGTCGTCGTCGTCCTCCTCCTCCTCCTCTCCCTCCTCTCCCTCCTTTGCCTCTTCCCCTTTCTCTTCCCCCTCCTCCTCCTTCTCCCCGTCCTCCTTTTCCTCGTCTCCGCCCTCGCTCGGGCTGCAACGGGGCGGCCTGAGCACCGACTCGGTGCGCCCGCGCGCGAGCGCAGCGGCGACCTGGGGGGCCGCGGCAACGGTGGCGGGGCGTGCGCGCGGTGGGGGAAGGGTAGAAGAAGGGAGGGAGAGGGAGAGGAGTGATTGGGGGATTGGGAGGGGTAGGGAAGGGGCTTGCGCGAGTGAGGAAGGGAATGGGGTGGGATGGGCTGGGCCGATCGCGAAGCGATGAAACGTGGCCTGACCTGGTCTGAGCACTCGGCTCGGCTTGGCTTGGGCTAGTACTTGGGCCGTTATCCTCCGTGAAAAACAACAGCAACGAGTTGCGCGCTTCTGGATTTGAGGCAGTCGCTGCCAACCTGCTGAAGCGATGGGGAGAGGACGGGGAGGGAAGGCACGGAAAGGAGGGCGCCCAACGCCTCGGCGAACCCGGCCGCCGTCGCCCCGCGGCCCCCTGCGCGCGCTCAGCGCAGCCCGGCAGCGCGCCGGAGCTGCTGCGCCAGCTCGCGCCGCAGGGCTCAGCTCAGCAGCACGTGCGCCCGCGCCAGCTCCTCGGGCTGCGCGTCCTGCAAGAGCTGCCGGCCGCGGCTCGGGAGCCAAACCCCACACTCGTGCCTCGCCACCGCGGCGGCCCCCAGCTGGGCATCGCTCGGACGTCCATTCCCTGTGTTTTTTTTCGGCTTCGTGCGTGGTTTTTCGCTAAATGATCAAGGATGCACCTCGATGGCCCTCGCCGAGAAAAAATGCACACGTCCGAGCGATGCCAGGCCAGTCTCAGCGGCGAACGCCTTGAGCCGCTCGTCGGGGCAGCGCGCGTGCTTGGCGCGATCGGCCTGGCGCGCCGCCCTGCCAAGGCGTCTCGCCGCCGCGCGCACGGCGGGCTCGTCGCTGGTCGGTGGGCCATGGACGGTCACGCCCAGCCACCTCCTGCCTCTGGCGTCGTTGTACCCGACGTCCATGAAGGGGCCCTGAGACACAAGAATAAATACACACAAATAAAATTATCCCGTATATTTTCCCATATTTTCTGGGTTTTTGTCTCCCCCCCCACTGCCCATATTTTCCCATATTCTCGGGGAAATCGAAGATTAGTTGTGTCTGTGTGTTTCTTTTCCTCCTGAGTCCAGGACGGCCCGTTCCAGGACCGCCTCCCGTCTTGGCCGCGGCGCGCTGGCCGTCCCCGGTGTGCACCCGCTGGTCGCAATGGCGGCGCGCAGGGGCTCCTCGTTCCGGCGAGGCTGCCTGCGGCGCGCACCACTCCGCCGTGCCACATGATGACGCCACAGCCAGGCTGGCAGACGGCGGCCTGGAGACCCAGTGCATCCAGCGGCGCCTGACATGGCACGCCGCCCGTTGGCAGGCTCTGGCAGGTCGCCGCAGCTCTCGAAAGCTCGTCGGCGGCGCACTCGTGCCTCGGGGGGTGGGCGCGGGACTGGTCGCCGTCTGCCAGTGATGGTCCTCCGACGTGCACGCCAACTCTGATTATAAACCGCAGCCCCTGGCCTCCTTGGCGGGGGGCAGCGACGCCTGGCTGCATTAGTGCACCCGTTGCTTCGTAGCAACGTGGATTGTCTTATGCCCAGCTGCAACCAAGGTCACCCACCTGGCTTGGTGGCCCAGCATGGCCTCGAGGAGCGCGCCAGCTCAGCTCGGGTCGCCTCGAACACGGCTGCAGCCTGGGGTAGGGCCGCCAACGTGCCTCCGAGAGTGGAGACGCCCGAGGCACCGGGGTCGTGCTGGACTTCTGCAGCCGCTTGCGCCCACGCCGCCCACGCCGCGACCGCGCGCCTCGTGGCCGCCCGCTGCGCTCGAGCCCCGCCCCGCTTGGCCGGCAGGCCGGCGCCTGCGCCGGCACCGGCTCCTCCTCCTCCTCCCCCTCCCCCTCCTGCTCCTCCTCCTCCTCCTCCTCCTCCTCCTCCTCCTCCTCCTCCTCCTCCTCCTCCTCCTCCTCCTCTCCTTCCTCCCTCTTGAGCCTCCATGGGGCCCTTTGGGGGAGGAAGAGTAGGAACGGGCGGGGTGGGGGTTAGGAGTGAGAGCAGAACCAGTTGCGAACGCAAGAGTAACTAACATAACCGATGAAAGAATAGACCCAACCTGCCGCCGTTGGAGGTCGGCTTTGCTCAGGGCCTTGCAGATGAGCCCATCTCTACTTCGTTCCAAGTGCACCTGGCCCGTGCGCGGGGGGTCAGCAGGGTTCGCTCAGTGACCTCAGCTGATAGTCATCTGCCCCACAACGCCCACGGAACCATATCTGCAAAACAGTGTGATACTTAAGAGGATGGGAGGAGTGTAGCCACCCCCCCACCACAATAATTCCACCACCAACAGAAGGGGGTATCAGGGTGTCATGAACGCTCGTGTGCGATGGGCATGATGTTTTCCGCCGCTCGTCGGCGGTGGCTTGAATGGCCGACCCAAAGCACCTAAGATACTTCCTTTTGCACTCAGAGAGCCCGTGAGCTGACGTAAAGGGGGTGAGCGCAGCAGCAGCAGCAGCAGCAGCAGCAGCAGCAGCAGCAGCAATAGTTGGGCGCAATGGGGAAGAAGGGGAGGTGGGACCTCGTCAATTTCCGGCTCCCCAGCCTCGACCGCAGCAGCTTCTCGGCCTCGAGACAATCCAGAGTGGCACTGACCAGACGCATCCAAACCAATACGGCCCAGCGCCCGTGGATATGAGCCATTTACCAGGAGGTCTCAGAGGCCCCGCGCAAAATCGTTGCTCAACTGGCGAGTTCGACTGCCACAGCGGTAGCAAGAACGAGACTGCTGAGATCCCAACCAGCGCAAATGTCGCCTTCGCCCTGGTGGCTACGAGCACACGGAACGGCGACCTCGGAGTGGGGGCGGGAAAGCGTCGGCTTGCCGACGTCGTGCCGCATCTCAGCATCCTGTCCCTTGGGCGCGCGGTGATCAATTTCGTGCTAGCCGTTCGCCAGGGGTTCGACGTGTGCATTGTACTTTGCATGATCGTCTGCGCAACAGATGGCAAGATACAGGGCCTTTGGTTCGTCCCTTGCCACTATTTGCCGCTGGCCACTCAAGAGGCCCAAGACATACAGCTCCAGAGCAAGATGGGAGAGGGGGCTAAACCTAGCAAGCGCGACGCCCGCGTGCCTCGGTCAGGGCCGCCTCGAATCGGTGCCCCCCCCCCGGGGCGTCGCTGGCAATGGTGATCGGCGAGCCGCGCGAGGCGTGCCTGGGGCGCCCGCTTTCAAACTGACTCGCGCCCGTCGTAATCCAAGAATGAAAGCCCGCGGCTTCGGGGGCGCGAGCCCACTCCTCTGGGGCGGGACCTCGAAGCCAGAACGCCTCCGCCGTCTGGTGCTGAGTGGGGGCCTGATGCGCGACATCCTCGGGGGCCTCATAAGCCCTGGGGCCCCGATTGGCACTGCGCTCCCACCATCTGTGGAGGGAGCCATGCTTAACTGTACATCTGTCACAAAAGCTCGCTGCCGCTATGACTGCAAATGAGGTCAGGTTTCCTTTCCTTCGGCCAGCGACCCGCGGCGGCAATATCCTTTCTTTTTTCGTCTCCCCCCCCCCCCCCCCGTCCCGCGAGCCGTTCGCCGTTGGGGGCTGCCGAACCAGCGCGCGATCTGAAGCGCTGCGAGCCCCATCCTGCAGACCTCCTCCAGCGCGCTGGCTACTGTTGGATGCCTGGAGATTGGCGCCAACACCAACGCAAAGGGTTGCCCCCGCAGGGGGGGGATGATCCTAGATTTCGGCGCTGGTAGTAATATTTCGGTCACCTTGGCAGCCATAATATCACCACCATCGCCGAGATCGGGATCTTCTTCCCTCGGTGGAGGCACACAGCCGGTATTGGTGTTGGTGACAACCTCCAGGCCTGCGATACTGGCCCGTTCCCGAATATCCTGGTGCACCGACTTCCCGATGTCCACGGGGCGCTCGGCGTGCCCAGGGACGTTAGGGATTGCCCGTGCATGCGCCGTCTGGAAACAAACTGCCGCGTCCTCGCGCGAGTCGGCCCCCATGGAGTGTAGCTCCACTGCGAGAGGGGGGGGGGGGGTCGGGTCAATACAGCGCGAAATGTACGAAGGATCGCCGCTGAGATCGGGCCGCGAGTTCTGCCTTCCCCGATTAGCAGGAGGGGGCGCTCTTGAGGTGCAGAAGTTTCGGCAGCGCCACCCTGACCCCATCGCGCACTGTCGGTCGGGTTGCCCCTCCGCATTTTGGGCTGCAGGTCGATGGCCAGCCTGGGGGGGGGGGGGCGCGCGATCCTGTCCGAGAGTCTTGGGGTCTAAGATTGCGGCGAGGCGCCCGCCGCGGCTCCAAACCGAGCGCGATTGAGCGAGATGTCGTCGTGCCGTCGCCAACTGCTGTCCGAGCGCCCCGTGTATTTTGTGTCCGTGCAGTCCCGCAGGGATCCCCCCCTGCGCCTGTAGTTTGGAAGTGATGTGGTACTGCCTGGCCGCTGTCGTGAATCGCCTGATCTTGGACGACATTAGCTTGCGGTTTTCCTCGCATTGCATGCGCGTCGATCTCGTCAATCTGCTGCGCCCGGAATCGACGCCGAGATAGGTGGCCTGCGATGCGCCTTTGATGTGGTGCCCTCTGATGCGCGTCGCCATGAGGATGGCCGTAGCGTCGCTCATATTCGTGCGCGTAACGATCGATTTTGGCGCCGCCTTCAGCTTCCGCTGAAATAGCTGGTCACAAGTGTATGCAATGCAACCCGCCATCGCGCGTCGAATTGCATGTCTAGAGCCGCGAGTGGCCAGGGGCGGGTTGTCCACCCAGGGCCGGTGGCCAATGGGTGGATGCATTGTCGCGTTTGCGTCCGCGACGAAGTGTGCGAGCGCCTTCGCAAAACGCGCGCCCGAGCATAGTCCTTGGACTGGCCTCTGGCCGGGCTCGAAGGCCAGCGGCGCAACGTGCTGAAGTAATTCGCGATGCAGAACCCTTGGCGGGAATTCAAGCCTGGGCGCCCCCTCCACTATAGGCGCCCAGGGAAGTGAATCGTTAAGCGCTTCAATATCAAGCATGGCCTGGGCATGATGCACGCGGAGGTTGCGCGCCGCCTCTTCGTTGAGCAAGCGTGG